GGAAAGAAAGTAGTTCCATGCAGGCATGATTGGCACCAGACCGGAGGAGAAGTGACTATTTCTGTATATGCGAAAAACTCTGTTCCTGATCTGAGCTACGTAGAAGCAAATAGCACAATGGTGAGTATCTACCTTAAGATGTAATTCTTTTTTTAATTCTTACAGCAGCTTCAAATTAGGTAAACCTGGGTTCTGCTTTATTTACAAGGCAGAGGTAGAACAGCGTAAGAATCTTTTTTGAGTAACGCCTTTTTGTTTGCATTTGTGTTTGTTCATGTATGTCTAGCATTTTTTTTCCTCTTCCAGACATCTGTACTTTAATTTTTTTTTTTAAAGCTGCAATATGATATGTCAAAAAAATCTTTAATTTGACTTCCACAATTAAAACCCGAGTGTGATGGATTTGCATCACCATATGTGTAAATAATTATAGATTCATAATTTCATTGTATTTGGCTTAATGTAATTTAATATAGTTCTTCACAGTATGCAGTTTCACAGCTACTAATATTAAACAAGTGTTAAAATGCTTCTCTGATGTCTTAATCATGCATTTGGAGAGAATGATACAGCTCCCAGGAGGTATATATGGCCACTATTGACTATGAGACTGTATCAGAATCTGTTAGAATAGATTTTCACTTTGCTTATTGTAGAATCTGAGTCCTAATGTGTTATATTTTGCTTAAACATACTTGTGTATGTTTTATTAGCCTGACAAAATGTTCTGTTGTTTTTCCCCTTAAGTTAAATATCCATATTGTATTTGAAGGAGAAAAGGAATTTCATCGCAGTGTGAAATTATGGGGAGTAAGTATAAGAATAATTTTTCTTCTAAAAAAAAAAAAAAGGAAAAAAAAAAACCAACCCAAAACCACAACAAAACACAAACCCTCAGCTTCCTCTCTTTCAAAACAGTTTGTTTTTCCTCATTACTCTGTTTATTGAAAGAAATTCAGTTGCATGTCATTCAGTAATCTACATTTAAATCTGAATCTAATGCCCCAAGTGATCGGGTATGACATCCTAGTTGATGCTGCTTTGAGCAGGAGGTGACCTCCTGAGGTCCTTTCTGTCCCGATTTGCCCTAAGATCCCAACACCATGATAGTGGTCTTCCAGAAACCGTTGACACTATGTAATGGCATGCTTATGTATGTGTTAGACCAATGTATATGTTACATATGCACAGGCATGTGTTTGTGGCTTGGGAGTGGGAGAGGGTTGACTTTTCCAGATAACAGAGGGACTCCATCTACCTAAACATATACTGAAATTTAGTGGTAAGGTACTCTTCCAAACTTAATTCCCAAATATCTAGCAGTCTGTTTTGTAAATTGAGGTGTGAAATATGTTTTCTGTTCTAGGTAATCGATGTAAAGAGGAGTTATGTGAACATGACGGCTACAAAGATTGAGCTTACTATGAGAAAAGCAGAGCCCCTATTATGGGCAAGTCTTGAATTACCGGTATCCAACACACAACAGAAAAAAGAGAATTCAGATCAATAATGATTCCAAGAGAGAAGTTATTTCCCATTATGAAGTGGTGACTTGCTACTGTAATCAAATATTTGACTTTTATATAGATTCATTTTTTTTATGCTAGATCATATGTTCCATTCTACAAAGAAACTTGATGCACAGTAAATGGAGGTATAAACTTGAAGGGTAACAGCTATTTCTGCTCTTGCTCCCATGAGTATATTTATTCTAGCTGGAGTGTCTCCATGGGGATTTAAGAGTAAAAGAGCTATTGCCCTTTGCTTACAACCTTACCTGCCATGCACTGGCTGTCCAAATAGATGTGTTCTCAGTCCACTGTGTCTGTTAATTTCTCAAGTGTTCGGTTTAGACTGGATCTACTGGGTAGCACATGTTAAATTCAGCACGGTTTGTTATGAAGCATACAGTAATGCAGATGCAAAAATCCGAGTTTATGAAGTGATTAACGTGATTCTACATCTAGAATAGAAAGATACATAAGCATAAACATGAAAGTACATTTGTAGACTTGCGTTTTTGTCTTCTGAAACTGAGGTTTGTTTCAATACCTGTTGGCTGTGGAGGAATGGAATAAAGGGTATTTTGCTAAGGACTTCAGTACTTGCTGACTCTTTTGCTGTCTTTCATGTATAAAAGCAGGAGATCAGATTAAAATAAAACCAAAATTGGCAAGAGGGAATTTTTTTTTTTTTTTTTTTTTTTTCACTCCTGTACCTTTGGTATTTGTATTGTTAAATATAAAAGTGAATGGACAGTGAAATGGCTGAATAATTTAGCATCTCAGCTGTGGAGAATATACAAACAGCAGACTATTGTAAAATTACCAAGGTGCTGTGTATATATATATATATTTGACAGTCTTTAGAATGTCTATTCTGTCCTATTCTACAACATTCAACGAATCTTTTTTCAGAGTAGGTGGATATGTGTTGTAGGAGAAGCCAGTACACACTGTAGGTGTCTCAGGAAAATTATTTCCATGTGAATATGCACAGCTCTTGTTTCTGAGGATGGTAATCTAAGAACCAAATTTACGTATAGGGCAAATCTTAGGAGAAACAAACAAAAAGCTTTAAAATGTCTGTCTCAAATCATAATTGTACCTTTGTATTAAAATATTTTGAAAATATTATTTCTTTCAAACAGCATAAGCAAAACACTGTAATTAGAAATGAAGACCTTATTTTTGTTTTCAGTTCTCCATCGGTAAGGATTTGTGACTGAAAACAGGATAGTTTTAAAGATGAGACTTTTATCCAAGCAGCAACACATGCAGTAATGTTGCTTTCTCTTTCTGCTTAAAATAGTTTAATTTTGGGTTGCAGCTGAAAGAAGAACAATGGTTTTGTATACGTCATGCAAAATGTACCCCATTATTTATTGTGCCAAAACTCATATACGTAAACAAGCAGTCCTGTGGACTGTTGAAACGTGTGGATGCTCGTCTACCTACCTTAGCACACCTGGAACAACACCAAGAGAAACACAGAACATGGTAAAGGCAGTCTGAAGTTAAATGTGTATTTCTAAGCATCTTACTGTTTTACAACAGGTATAATTTGACTTGAGCTCAGAGTTTTGTCTCTAGCAGTACTTGAAATCCTACTTCATGCTTAAAGTAGTAGGAAACACGCTACCAAAGAAACCGTCCCCAAACTCCAGGAAAGTACCACCAGTGCTGTATATATGAAATTGGTTTTGGTGCTTCTTTACCTCCGAGGTCCTGTTTCCTCATTGGCTTGGTGGGAGTGTGGTTGCGTACTCCTTTGGGCCCCTGTTAAAAGTTCCAGCTTAAGTTCTGCCTGAAAGATTCTATTAACCTCTAATAATGCTGCCTTTTTTTTTTTTTTTTTTTTTTTTTTTTTTTTTTTTTTAATAAATTTGAAAACATCAGGTGCTGTGAAGCAATAGGGTGCAAGCCTACAAAAATGTATGCCTGCAAATGGTCCTCTAAAAATTGAACAGATGTTCCCTGATGTGTTCTGAACCACCAAGTGGAGCTCTTACTGGTGTAATACTGAGAACAGTCACTTCAGGGGATGAAAAGTTCTGGATAGCTGTAGCTACTAGCGTGCCATCTGTGTTTTTATAGGCAGAACTCTGAACTTGGACAGCAAAATGAGCAGTGTTTAAATGCCAGGATAAAGTTCTTATTTAGCAAGCAAGTTCAAACGTGTGTCTATCCATATGGATATGTAAATACCCTAAATTTTCCACATTTTTTTAACATACTTTCAGTTTATTTGCATCCTCACATGCAGTAGGTTTACATCACGTAAAATCCATTTTAAAGAACTACAAGGGAGATGGAATGTCTTGGGACAACAGGATTTCTGTGTTTAAGCAAGCCACATTCTCCCTTAGCATACTAAACCCTAAACGGAGAGCAATGTGGATGAACGGACCTTCTGCTGTTAGTGCTGCAGGCCTTGGGACCCCGTAACTGTTTGTTACCCTCTTTCAAGCTACGGTCTGCCGGTAGCTGAGTCAACTTGGCCATAAGTAGAAGAAAGCTCCTGTAAACATGGTTCTCTGTTTTGCTTTTGCTTTTTGTTCATTCCTCCTCCTCTTTTCCTGTTGTTCATACTTTCAGCACAAAATTAAAGATACTTCAGGAGTTCCATAATGACTTTCCCCATCAGTGGCAATAAAAGCACTTTTAAAATTCACCTGTTTAAAAAAGTAAGCAAACAAAAAAGACCCCAGCTTTGATCAGGCAAGAAGGTGTAGGTTTTACAAATAGTAGCCTAGTTTTGTATGGCCTGTGATGTTTTTCAAAATAAAAGGATCAACTTTCAGATGGTATAGACTTGCCGTAAGTCTCGTGTTTAACCGCATTAATTCTTGGCTGCTTTTTGTAACCATACGTCTGCATCCGTCGTCAGGCTGTGAAAGCTGTATCACTGAATTTGAGTGTTTGAAGCAGTTGCTCAGAACAGGCTTCGGCACACCGGTGTTCGATCCGGGTATTCTGTGACAGGACGTCTTGACGTGGATAGCGCTAGCCGGCGCTTCAGTGGAATACTGCTTTGGCTGTAACTTTTATTAGTACATGTGGAGAGAAGGTGAAACCGACTGTCGGGTACCAAACCGATCACAGTACTTTCTCAAAAGCAAGATTTGAAAACTAAGCGAAGTGATTTTTGATCCCATAGGCTTTCACCTGTCTAATAGTAGTGAAACTAAATTGCAAACAAGTATGTACTGGAATACTTGCTGTTAAATTTACCCTGTTTTTCATGTTTTCAGAAGTTGTGCTGTATTTAACAAGTTGGTTAACTTGAGACAGTCTAGCTATATTTTTATAATTGATGAGTCTTTAAAAGCAGTAGTGTGTTTCGGTATGAGTTTCCATGTTACACATGCAGGCAGCGTATTACATGTCTCAGAACTGACTGTCCAGGTGCTTATAAACCTTTTCCTTCATAATCCCTTTTTAATATGAAAAATTGCATGAGTATACAAGTTTGTGACAGAAATCTTAATCTTTTCCCTCCTGTATAAGCCCATTTTCCTGCCCAGCATTACATATTGTATCTGTAACAACATTTCTTGGAGGAGTGGGAATTTATTTTTCATGTCAATATACTGTTAAGCACTGGGCTGTTCAGCTGCTCTGACTCTTAGGTTTTACATGGCACTGATGTAACTTGACAAAAAAAATCTTCCATTGGATGATCTTCTGGAATGCGTACATTATCAAGTCACCATTTCAGTAGTTTAGGGACTAGTTTTACTAGGAATTTTGCCTTGGGGAAAAGAAAAAAAAAATCTACTTATCCCATGGAACGAGGCATTTTTTGCTTGCATTCTTTAAACATGGCATGAGTATTGGTTAAATACTGTACCTGTTAATCACTGGTCTTTCCCTCTTGCTACTAGAATGCCTATTGCTACTAGATTTTTTTTATCTCCGTTCAGAAACGAGATCCTTTTTGAAGTAATGAGTTATGTGTCTGGAACACGGTTTTAAGGTGGTAATAATTTTGCCATTATAGGAGGCTTGAATTACAGTTGAAGGGGGGGGGAGATGTCTTTTTGCATGGTTGTTTGATTCTGCACATTCATAAAACTTATATGGAGAAATTAATCTCACGTCTTCATGCTCTAGTTTTTTTCTAAATGTATTCAATAAAATTCCTATTACATGCTGGTTGCATTTGGGGTTTTTTTGACTTCTTTTGTTACGGGAGAGAACTTCCCTTTGGATTTGCAACACGGTTGTCAAAATAAAATGGAAGTGGGCATTTTGCACAGGTCAGTCTGTAGGTGCGGGAACCTGGGAGGCAAAGGGGTTTTTCCCCACCCCTTGGTTTCTTTTGTCGGCTGTTGCTTCCTAACACGACAGCCCAGTCGGGATGCGCAAGTTCTGCAGCAGTTTGAATAGGTCTGGCTGATGGCGTGGGGGCCTGTCTTGTTCTTGGAAATTTTTCTGTTTTGAGCTGTTACAAACTGGTTGGAACTGGAATAATTCCCAGTACAGTGTTTGGGCTGTTTCTAAGAATGCCGAAGATATTGTAGCTCTGCTGCTCTTTTTCTGTTTTCTTGATTTCTTGGAAAAAGGAAGAAGATATCTGTCAAAACCTCCGGCATTCCCACAATGGAGAGAAAAAGGATTCACTTCTTGGGGCCTGAAATTTTCTGTGGTAATAAAAAGTTTGTGTTTTCTCAAGGTTTGGGTGGGTGTTTTAACCGAAGATAACCAAGATACACGTCGCAGACCTTATAAACTAATCCAGTTACTGTGCCAAATTACTGTTAGTCAAGCAGATTGAGTCTCTCTGAGTTTGTCTGCAACACGAAGGGTTGGCGTTGGGGAGAGAGGATGTTAGCAGTCAGGAGGATGGGGGGGCAAAGGGTGCGGTCCCGAAGACTTCTCTGTAGGCAGCGCAGATTTCAACCCGCGTTCATAAAGTCAACATTTCTCTGTTCAACTTCTGAACGTTTTGTTTTCCTGACACAACGTTGGCGTGAACAGGAATGAAGAACTGCTGTACGGGACCGCT